TAGAGAGAAGAAAGCTCACACACAGAAAAATATATGAAGAAATCTTTGTGAAAACATTTTTTCTGAGTTTTTGTCTTAGGCTCAAATCTTAAATATTCGTGTGTAGTAAATTCCAGAAATCTGTAGTTTGGATGTCCAAATGTGATACGTGTTTTAAATGTTAGTCCTTTTGCTGTTTAATCTATTAAGACATAATTAACAGCATTAGCATTCACATCCCCTGGTCTAATATTTTTTGGTCACATTTTCAGGGGTTGTAGTGTGCGGAATCGACTGCGACTTTCTCTGCAGCACTCTACCGCAGTAGCTTCTAATGGTCACTGTCTTATTCTCCAGAACTCAATTTCCCAATATATTGGAGGAGACACACTTTAACTGCAGTGGAAGAAGGCTTTATTTTCATCTCTTTCAATTAAATTAATACATGCTTGGGAGTGCTCTGCAGCTGCAAACTGGCGTTGGGTTCAGCTTGTAATGCACGTTAAATAGAAAGCGGCGAATAAGGTGCTCCTTGGTAAACTTTTGTTACAGAGAGCTTTATCCTGCCAGTCTTTATAGAGTTTAACAATCTGTTAGAGTCATTAATCTCCTGCTGTGACTTTACCTTCCAGTGTCAGGATTAGGCATTTAATTCTCTACTAGGCTGTAAGGAGCACTGAGACATTTTGGTTCTAAAATTGTTATATAGCCACGGAAAACATGGTTTCAGTGGGCAGTTTAACCTCTTTGAGCTCAATTATAGCCCTGAACCGACAATGATAAAACAGCCCTAAATAGTGCTTAGAACAGTAGAACATGATGCTATCAAAACCAGCAACTGACTCTGCACCGTAAACCGACTAAATTGACTGAACTGGAAAGACATAAAATCTGCCTTGTGGTACACGATTCGTTCTTGAAAAATATTTGCCAGTCCCAATGGTTTCCTTTTATATCTTTGTGCTGGTCTCGAAAACTTATTATTCTTTTAGCTATATGTTAATTAATAAAGTTTTCTCCATGACAAAATGAATTAAGAAACATCTTTATTTAATGTGCTTTGCGCTCTAACAAATGGAGTTTCATGTAGTGGAAACTACCCACATGTTGAAGTCACTTCTAACTTAAAAATTCAGTGGGGGGGAAAAAAAAAAAAACCCTAAAGTCTTATGAGTAATAGTTTGTGTCATAATATTTATATCAGAAATTAAGTCATTGCAAAGACATTTGTTAATGTACGTACAAGCGCAAGATCTCATTCTGGTTTTAGAATAAAACTTGACGTGTTTTTACCGTGTGTTTTATGACCATTTAAATTCAAGTCACAGACTTCTCCCATTGCCTTCTGAACTGATGGGGGTTGTATGACACGGTAAAGCCTCTGGATGCATAAGCCATAAGTTTGGCTGGACTTGGTTGCAGTATGCAGAGGAACATACAAGATTAGTTTTCTGGTAGTTATTTACCTTGATGAATAGCCTTAATTGGATCAAATAGACTGGTAATGCTGAGCTAATACTTTTAAATGTCTTGTCTTGTGCAATTAATATTACCTTGTCATGTATCCATTTGAGCTATTGGATGAATGTCTTACGTTCGTACTCCTGTCACATTTAACAAATGATTTTGTCAAGTCATTCTTTATAGCCTGTGGTGATGGATAGCAAAATTTGTGGTCTCCTGCATATATAAAAACCGTTAACTATACCTTTCAACTTCAATGCAAGGGCGTCCTAAAACTCAGATAACCAATTTTTAAAGAAATTACAATGCATGTTTACATGAGGGGTCAGAAATATGCTACTGACATCTATGATTAACACAGCATAGAAAAACAGAATTTGTTAATTTTGTATTTATCAAACCAGTGACAGCCAGAATTCAGATTTTTTTTTCAGCTGCTGCAGCTCTGAACTGCAGAAGGCAACATACAGCTACCGTTAGAAACAAGATATCCATTTTATTCATTAATTTTTATTCAGATATAACTCTACTGTATATTTACAGTGGTAAACCCCAAATTGCTGGTTAGCTGATGCTCTTACTGTCCTTTTTATGGATTTCTAGTATGTGGGTTTAGACTGAAGGTATTTAATACTGACAAAAATGAGCTGCGTACTTGAACATCCTGAGTCTTTTCTTACAGTTCCATGGGGCATATTGTTATAATCAGATCTATAATAACATGTTAACCTTGATTAAAAATCAAATTGCTTCTTCATTGAACACAACACTTTGAAATGCATAGCTCCTTATGGAACCTTATAAACAGAGAAATGTCAATGTTCATTTAATATTTAAAGTATTGTTTTTCAGTGCACCGGGCAGTAGGTTTTCTTGATAAAGGCATTGAACTTTAAGGATTTTCCCTGAGAATGAGTTGGAAACCACATGGGATTTTTAAGATCTTTGTGTGTTCCTTTGGAAACACTACCATTTGGCATATTTTGGTCCAATGGACTTCAAAAAATCTAACTGTAGGTAGTGAAGTGAGGCATCTGCCTTGGAAGCAGAGTTTCCCAGTGTTGTGGTTTAACCCAGCAGGCAGCTGAATACCATGCAGCCACTCGCTCACTCCCCAGCTCCCCAGTGGGATGGGGGAGAGAATCAGGGAAAACAAAAAAGTGAAATTTGTGGGTTGAGATAAAGACAGATAAAGAGGGGAAAATAATAATAATAGTGATAGAAGAATACACAAAACAAGTGATGCATAATGCAATTGCTCACCACCCACTGACCGATGCCCAGCCTGTCCCCAAGCAGAGATCACTGCCCTCCCCCACCCTGGCCAACTCCCCCAGTTTCTATACTGGGCATGACGCCATATGGTCTGGAATAGCCCTTGGGCCAGTTGGGGTCAGCTGTCCTGGCTGTGCCCCCTCCCCGCTTCTTGTGCCCCTGGCAGAGCTGGGGAAGCTGAAAAGTCCTTGACTCTGCGTAAGCCCTGCTCAGCAACAACTGAACCATCAGTGAGTTACCAACATTCTTCTCATCCTAAATCCAAACCACAGCACTATGGCAGGCACTAGGGTGAAGATTAACTCTATCCCAGCTGAAAGCAGGACACTCAGCAAGTGGTGGGAGATGGACACCTACGGAGGGTGATTAAGCAAACTGGAGAGAAACCCTCTCTGACAGGATCTCTCCCTTAATGCTGGCTATAGATGAAGCCCTTCATTTAGTAGGGAAGGACTGACATACGTAGCGATTAGGAATCTATCGGCCATATAATGCAGAGTGCTATGCTGGTGCACTCTTCTCTGACACTTAACATCTTTGTGTGTGGTTTTTTTTTGTTTTACAATGCTGTGATATATTTGGAGGAATATTAGTGTTTATCTTTGTATTGAGGTGGTACCTATGAACACTATTCATGGATCAGGATCTCATCATGTAAACTGCTGTGCAAACAGACCCAAAGGGCGATCTGAAAGAGTTTTCAATATAAGAATAAAATAAGAGTCAGCAAGTGGATATTAGCATATTGATGAGAGGAAAAAAAGCAAAAGTACAAGATGAGAATGTGGTAGGTAGCAGCAACCACACGCCAGCTTCCTAACTGTTGGCAGGTCTCTGATATATTCTTCCCTTTTGTGTGTGTGTGTGTGTGTCCCGCTTTTGCCTATATTACTGTTTGCTTTTCTGAGTGCCTTTAATCATTTAGGAGGTGGAAAAATACTTTCCAGGTAGAATCTGAGTAGAATTAATTTTTAAGGGGATTTAAGAATTGCTGTTCTTAATACGTTGGCACCTTTAGTTGTAAGAGAAAGAAAAGGAAAACCTCATGCAAACGCATATGTGCTCTTTTGCTTTGCTTGCTTTTACTGCACCGCTCCAGGCTTGAATGGAAATATTCAAAGTTACCTTTCTCCTTATTCAAATAGAGCTGACAATTGCTGCCATCAGGCAGCAATTGCATCTTGGATCATGTATTTACAGTGCCTAACTCTATACCAGTTTTCAGTACGACTGGGTGTTTTGATGACACCTTGGCTAGATAGAGCTTTCTCGTTGGGACCGCAAAGTAAAGAAAATTACCTTTCCTGATATTTCATCTAACTGAAAATGCATGATTTAAGGAGACTAATGGCTAGCCAGACCTCCAGACTGAATAGCTCCCAGCTTGGGTTTGAGTCCACATTTTTTATTTCTTAACAACCAAAAAGCTGGAGAAAACACGCTCAAAATGTTTCTGAGCCATACTTCAACAGAGCAATTAAGCTTCCAGGAAGAATTACTTAACATTTCAGTTATCTTTCTGGCTGTCTTTCAAATTTTAGTGAAGTTTGACATTAATTAGTGGTTATTAGCAAAATGGAGAAGCTAGTGACATCATTCTTACAGTAATATTGTTCCAAACAGATGTTTTCTATGAAATAACAGGTGTTTAATCTTCAGTAACTTGTAGGGTGGGGTTTTTGTTTTCTTTTGGAATAAATTATCGTATGTTTTCTAATCCACCTGGAAAATGCTTAAAAGGTTTTCTGTTTTACCTGTTGGAGGTATTTGAAAGAGCTTACAAAGCACGAGGCATGTGCTAAATAAAATATTCATTATTGCCTGGAATACTATTCAGTGCAGGAATTACAGAAGGCTTAGAAATATTCAGGCTAATATTTTTAATGGTTGCTTGAAGTTAAGCTCCTTAATCCATACTTGGCCTTAAGTGAGCTGAACTGTTTTTTAAAGTAGTGCGCAGCTTTTATTTCTCATCAATTTGCAACGTATTACGTGGGTAATCGCCATTGTCCTATATAGATCCATTGGGTCCAGTAGGATTAGATGTGTGAGTCAGCGTGAATCTCAGGAGGGGTTTGCAGAGCTAGGCCCCTAAGTGTTTGAGATTTGTATGCTTGCTGCAAATATATAACTATGAGGAAAGAAAGAAAAAAGCCTAAACTCCCATACAGTGCTGTGAGATGCGACGCGTTGATGGTTAAATATAAGTAGCCAATGAATACAGTGGGAATGTGTATTGATCATTCTCCTTTTATTTACTGGTCTCTTTTCTTTTGTCACAGCTACGGAAGGCGGTAATGGATCATATATCAGATTCGTTCCTGGAGACCAATGTCCCATTACTGGTTCTCATTGAGGCTGCAAAAAGCGGTAATGAGAAAGAAGTGAAGGAGTACGCTCAGGTCTTCCGTGAACACGCCAACAAGTTAGTTGAGGTAAGTGACCTTATTGACAGAGCTAGATTTCCACCTTCCCTCTCTAGGAGAGGCAAGAAAAATTATATACTGGCTGAAATGTTAGAGGCAGCCTTTCTGTAATACAGGTTTCAGGAGTTTTGGTCAACTTTATCTCGGTGATTGCACAGCAAATGTCTGGATGCCTGGCAGAGAGGAGCGTGTGCTGCACTTTAGTAGTTCATTGAAGAAATGGAGCATGTATTTCCAGTATTTTGTCGAGTCATGAGCAACAAGAAGTAAATTGCATTTCAGCTTTACAGTAGTTCTTAATTTCTATTAAGTAAAAAGCCAAATATGTGCTTCACAATATTGTGTCTGGTACTGGCCAAAGGCAGCTCTAGACTTAAGAGCTTGTTATGCTGAACTGAAATAGTGAAAAGGACATATAGAGAAGGCATAGCCTTAAGACCTTATTTACTCATGAAAGGTCTGTACTACAAATATAATATTTTCTCTTTCTGAAGAGACCTACTGTGTCAAATGATAATTTCAAGTCTTCAGGGACGATATTGAAATAGCTGTATTCTAGCCTGAGGAGTACAAAACATAAGGATGAAACCTGGATGCTTGTTGAATGGACTTTTAATAAAATAATGGTAATGTTCATTTCAGTTTGCACATTAACAGATCAAGAACTGTGGAAAAATACTTGTATTTCTTGATGACCAATATAACAGTGGTTTGCTTGATATTGTTATGTGGCATTAGTGACTTCTCTGTACTAGCGTTATTTTGAAGAATATGTAGCCCCCTTGCAACATCCATTCTCTCTAGCCATGCCATGTGTTTTTCAGCAGAGGAAAATGCTATTAGCGAGCTACTGATTTGACAAGTATTGAACTAGACCTTTGAATGACTTCTGTTCTTAAAACTAATTCTCCAGTACCAGAACTGAAGCAAGGAGTAAAGGTTTCTTGGTTACTATTGCCTAAAACTAGACAGTGTCCTGGCAAAATATGTGGGGGGGGAGGGTATTTTTAGTGGGGTAAGGTGCTGTTCTGGAGCATCGCACTCCTCCCATGTACAAAACAGGGAGTCAAGGTACCTCATTCGGGGTCTGGGAGTCAGGTGTTTGCTATAGTACTTAACTTGTAGGCACCTAAAGGTAGGTCCTGGGGTTGAAAAGCTCTGGCTGGGTTCTGTACAATGCTGAATACGCTAAGGGTTATTACTGTTATCTGCAGGAGGAACACAGGACTGTCTGCAGCTTTCAGTCCTGACTCCTCTGAATCATGCAAAGATTTGTTACTGCCGCCTAGTGACTGGAGCTGTGGCAATAAAAAAAGGGAATAGCCAGTAGGTCTATAAAGAGAGCAAAATCAAACAAACAGCAAGCCCCTCTACAATATTCATAGTTATGTTGTAGTGGCAGTCAGAACTGTAGCCTTATGCATAATATGCAATGAACATATGTGGTTAGTATTATAGCAGTCCCTTCCTCCACAGATTTGCAACAGAGAGTTGCAAATACTGGTCTAATAGCATTATTAAAAAGTTAAAAATAACTAAGTAGATCTTTTTAAAAAATATAATAAGAGGTAGTGACATAAAAGGAGGAAAAATGTCTTTTTTAAAAGGGTATAGTTATCCCCTCACCCTCCCCAAAAAACCAACTTCAATTGGAAGAGACAAAACAAGAGAGTGATTACAGCTATCTAGCTTTGGTTCTACAAGCCTAACATTGTTAGACTTGTACTTTAGACCAAACTGGAGTTTGGTTACTGATTTTGAACATTATGTGGTTGGTTTGGGGTATTTCACCCATAAAACAATGACGATGGGAACAACAGATGTCTTGGCCCTAATACCTAATATTGTATTCCATTTAGGTTGTTCCAGACTATTACAAGCAGATCCTTAATTGATTCTTGTATGTCTCTGACATCTCGTACTAGCCTGTGGGTCCATCTTTACCCTTTTCTGAGGATGGGTTCTATTAGATAGATCTTATTTATAAGGATTCTTTCCAGTTTGGGTAATAAAATATCTTGAAGTCAATTTCCAGTGCAAGGGGAATTTTGAAGCCCAAGTTTCAGGTTCATCAGACTGCACAAGAAAATAAATATTTGGAATAGATTTACATCCCTTGTACACTAGATTTTGCACTTAAAATAGTTTTATCATTTTTACTTAACGATGCACAATGGTATCTTAGCAGATGGGCTTCTATCATTTTGTGGGTCAAGTATTTTGTAAATAGTAAAATGTGGTTTAAAGATGAGACATAATCAAGTGACTATAGAATGTAGATCCTTTCCTAGGCACAGGGCCAGAACTGCTTGGTAATATATGCAAACACAGTTCCACTGAAGTATGTGGCAGTTCAACTTGCTTATGTTAGAGGAATTTGGCACTGCAAATCCAATACTGTGAAAACTATAATATTAATCATTAATTTTAAAATCCGAATCTGAATTTCTTGGATGTCTTACCAGACCCAATAGTAAGTCTATCAAAAGGTCAGGAAAGATAACTCGTGTTTTAATCCTTCTTTGTGTAAAAGCTACATTTTACCATTCTGAGAAAAGCAAATTCATTTATTGATATTTGATGAATACAAATGGCAACATTTTCTTTGCATAGTCAATACGTTTTCAAAAATATACACTGTAAGAATGAGGCTTATGGAAGTTAACTTTCTTTTATAGTCCACATTGGAGAATACCTAAATCTTCTGTTAAGAGTGGCTTTCATTATTTGTCTTTTCCCTTCCCCGCCTCTTATCATAACATTTTGTCTTTTGCTGTTCACTTTACTTGCTATGATATGCCTCATTTGAGAATAATAACCACAGAGATGAATTCTCATTTTTCTAGACATTCACTGACAACCAGTTTTGTCTATGGGTTATGTTGGGAACCTGGAGTAAGGTGTCTGTCATCCCATGAAACTTGAGGTATTTTAGCTGTGATACCTCTGTTTAGAAGCCTTCTTGTCTCAGGCTCCCACCAGATCCCAAGAAGGCAGAGCTCTTCAAGAATGACACCCAGCTTAACGGTCATGTGAATCATCCAAAATGACTCAAATTGTCATACAGATACTTGGGGTAAAAAATAATAATATAATAAACCAGAATTTATATGGTACCAATCCAGACTCCTTTTCTTAAAATCGTATTTCAGCAGTCGTCTCTCAACTTCTCTGCCTTTTGAAACTGAAGTTAGAGACGTGACGGTGCCTTTCCAGGTCGTGATCTTTACCTCATGAATCCATTTAATGTTTTTTTAAAAAATTATCTCTAATGATTGAAAGTCAGTATATGCCTGAGTTGTATTGCTTGCTTCAAATGTGACCTTGGGAAGTCATTTAACTTCGGTATCCAGGCACCTTAATTTTTAGCATAAGGTTAATGGCAGATGATTCTAATACCTACCACACAAAGGCACTTGACTGATAAATCAGCTCAGATTTATTTAATGCATCGATCAAAGCACTATATGGCAGCTAATTAATTAATTTTTAGTGTTCTGTTTAGTAAAGCTTCCTTGGTTTAACTGTTAGTCCTCTGAACTCTTTCTTGCAAAATTAAATTATTAAATCCAACCAGTTTTCCTGAGAGATGAAATTCAGCATCCAGTAAACTCTTAAGAGCCATGATAGCAAGGTGTTTAGTTGCTTTCAACAGGAAACATCAGCATGTTTGAAGTTCAATTAAGAACTGTGAAAATTCAGATTATAGGGCCTTCTGGTTAAATTACTGGATTGGATCAGGCTTTCCATCCTCACCAGGATGGAGAAAAGTCCAAGAGAGATCTACTAATGATTTAGGTTTGGGTAGGTATTTTTATGGAAGGACTTCACCATTTGCTGATGCAAGAACTTTTACAAGAGTTAAATCCGGTTGCATTATTCTTCCTTGAAACTTATTTCTGATAAAATTAGAATGAAGGAGATTTTTGTTCTTTAGCATGAACTGATACAGCACCAAATCTGAAACACCTAAAAATAATATTCTGAAAAGACAGTGCCTTACCAGTTTTGCATGAATTATTTTTTATGAATAATTTTGTGGGACCTATGTGTATCTATCAGTTTCATCTTATACAAACTTAAAGAATTCTTGAGACACCCAAAATAATCAAAGTTATCTTCTAAGAATACTTGGCTATTGGAAGAACTGTGTTAGTCAATGGTTTATGGTGATTAAAATTTGATATAGTGCAAGGAAATCAATAGTACCACAAGGTTGGATAGTAATTTGTAGCAGATGAAACCTAGCAGCAGCATTTCTGTTTCTATTTTATAATCTTTCTGTCCATTAGGCTTGCAGGAGTCTTTATTAACTTTCTCCTGACTGTGTAATTGCCACTTTAAAGAGGATACTGGGGTTACTTTGGGGAGTTTAGGGGTTTGGTTTTTTTTTCTTTTACGATGTTGAGGGGAAAAAAAAAGTTAGTGTTTGAAATCCTTTATAAGGCACAATGCAGGCCACCTTTTGGTTTCCAAGAGCTGTATTATTTGTAGCTCCCTAATTCAGACTGATTACACGTTTTCCCATCACAAACGTGGAAATAGGCTTGCACACTGATGACAGAAGGGGAAAAAACACTGCTAGCATGCACAGGACACACAAAAAAAGAAATGGGACCTCCTCAATTCCCCCTGGAATTTTCTTGGATTTAGTCATGAGGTGAGAGAGGGAAAAAAAGTGAAAGGAAATTTTACTATGGTGATCAACAGTGAGTTTAATCTAGATTTACATCAGCTGTAAGAGAACTAATATCCCACCCAGTATTTTTTCATTCCAGAAATCTCTTGCAGAAAAGCATACAGAGTGTTTTGTCCCTTAGAAACACAAAGCTAGATTTTCTCTTAGGGAGTTAAGGACTTCTGTGCAAATCTGCGATGCACTTGAGGTCGATGGAACTCGTGACAGTTTACAGCATGGCACTCTTGCCCACTTTCAGGAAGTACAAGTGATCTCCATAGGGAATAAATAACAATCTTTTGTTTGTGCTTTTGTAAATATGGTGCAAGTT